GATTTGTTATACAGGGCTTTCATTTCAGATGCTAAAATAAAATTTCATGCTAGTTTTAAGAATGGCAACAAATAAGTAGAAAATATGAACATCTGGCTGAATACTTGTTGGAGTTCCCCTGACCTTATCCAAGAAGTAAGGCTTTTCTGTCTTTGAACCATACTCTGCAAGCTAGATTCTGCTACCTATCTAGGTAATACTGAGGTGCCCTTTGTTTCTCTCTTTTGTACAGAAGTAGGCAGTGTGTGAACATAGTGAGTATTTGCCCAGTGATGATTTTTGTTCCTTTGTTGTCACTGTGCTTTATGAGGCTGAATGATACACCTGGTAGCAGCAGTGTCATGCAAGTTCTAGTAAGGCAAAAAGGAAAAACAAGGTGTAGGAGTGTGCTTCTTTTTAAATAAATAAATAATAAATAAATCTGCTGGAAAATAGCAAATTCCAGCATCTTGGAAAAAAGACAGATTACACAGCTGTGCAATAATGAGGCTCATGAAAGCTTTGATTGAGACAAATGGAGAAAGTCACAGCTGTCAGAGCTTATTGCTTAGGCTTTGTACAGGAAAGTGGCAGGTGGTGTTTTATTTATTTATTATTTGACATTGATAATAATGGAATTGTTTATTTTTAGTGAACAGAATTCTCAGATAAGAAATTCTATGGAAAACCAAATGTGAAACTGCAAAATACTCAGAGTATTTTTAATGTAACATCTCTGTATTGTACTCTGTAGTTTAATTTTAATGTTTTAAGTGGTGGGTTTGAACACTTGTTGCATTATTCGTTGTGCTGCTTATAAGTGATAGCCAGGAAATTTAGGTTGCATTAAAATGTGTGTATATTTTAAGAAAAGGCTAATGTTAAGTCTTAAAACTTGCATATAGATTTTGTATTCAGCTACAGTACATAAATATTTGGTTCTTAGTTTCATTTAATTGTATTGTTATGTTTAAATTTTAGAGTAATTTTTTTTTTTAAATAGATGTCACAATTCTGGAATCACTGCTGAAATCTATTTTGCTAGTGCTATAAATAAATTTTAAAATGGTTCCTACACACAAAGAAAATGATTTCAATTGCTTCAAGATATTTGTACAGTGTGCTAATTATGTGATAAATACAACAATATTTTCCTTCACAGATGTTTTAAGTTAATTTTAAGTCTCAGTTTACTGATTGACTGTGTAAAGTTGTACTGTAAAAGCAATTTGTGTAATTTTAGGGAGATATGATGTATTCTTTGTGCTAAATGAAGTGTTTGATTCCTGGATTTGACAGCAAAATTTTTGCTCAACCGTGTTCCCCCCACAATCCGATAATTCTACTTAATTTTTTTCAAATGCATTCATTTTAAGTGCCTTTATATTCTCATGGGTTCTTGGGTAACACTTTCCCCTTTTGTTTATTTCAGTGTACTGAGTATTTAGGCCTGAGGCCAGAAGGCACTCAGCTATGTTCACTTTCCACTGTTTGGCTTAGAGCTGTCATCTACTTTATGACTGAACCGTGGTGTTTTGAAAAAGTCAAATGAATTTGGGTAGCAGAGCTTTCTTGATCAAAAAAGTTTCCTTAAAATTCTACAAGATTTATTTAGTAATTTTTAAGAAAAAGATGTGTTTTTTCTTGTAAATGACTACTAAATGAAATATTGCAGAAATACGTCTTATGTAAAGAATTTTTATCTTGTCATGGCTTCCTACACAAGTTTATCTTTTGGAGGTGAACATGTAACAAAAAACTGCTTTGTTGCACAGGACTGTTCTTTTTAAAGCTTCTTTTGAAATATTTTAATTGCTGAGATTCCCATTTTGCAGATCAGGTCTCCTTTCCAACTAATGTGCATAATTAGATTAAATCAGGACAGGAAAAATATTTCATCTTATGTTAATAACCCTGAGTGTTTGTGAAACAACTCATACTAGGCTGCTTGCTTCTTATCCTTTCCTCCTTGTGTCCTCTGGTTTACAAAATTAAATGTAGTCTTCAGAAAAATATCTGAACAGATAAATAACCATGAAGTATTCATGGACTGTTTGAAATGTAACTGTAAGTCTAGTAATAATTTAAGAGGTTTTTTTTGATTTTTTTTAAAAAAATGTCATTAATTTTGTGCATTATGCAACGTAATAGAGAATTTTCAATCTTGAAGTATTAGAGATTGAAAGGAAAAGTGAAAAATAAATCTGCTGTAAGTACACTTAAAAAGAAAAATAACGAGATTGCAATGTAGTGAGAAAAAATTAACTTTTGATTTTGTTTCAGTAATGTTTATGCATGTACACGATTGTAAGACAATTTCTATACATAAATGAGTCATTTTTTATTTTGAGTGCAAGTTAATGAATCAAAGGTATGTATGAATCAGATACAAGTTATATGACTTGTTCAATATTATACAAATCCACTTCTGTGAGTAGTCTTGGCTCTGTCTTTACACTTGTACTTCAGGGCAAATGTAGGTTTTCAGTGTACATGGAGATCCACGTGTAGTGAATCAAGCTGTTGCTTTTGTTTGCCAGTACAAAGCAAGTAAAACTCTTGCTTCACAATAGAAGGAAAACACGTTGTCCTGATATTGGGAACGAGGAACAAATTTTGAAAAGCTGCTTTGGGAGGATATAGAGATTCCACTTCTTTCTGGGCAGCCTGACTTCACAAAACAGTAGTGCTATAGACACTGCTCTTTTGCGTAATCTATTAAGTCATTATGTATTTTAAGCATTTTAATCTTAGCAAGCAGGGGCTTGAAAAATTGTATAATTATATTTGTATGCCTGTCATACTTGGTAAAAACGGAAAGGATTTTCCAGATAAATTGTTTATACTGCATTCCTTTGGCAGTAGTACTTGGAGTATTAGAATTGCCCACGTAGGATGTATATGCTGGCTATGGGAAGCTTCCAGGGTTGGCTATAATCTTTAAACCCAAGATGTGTGCTGAGTTATGCGATTGTCTTTTTCTTTATGGTGAGCTGTACTGCTTAGGAGCTATTAATATATGCAGCAGATTCCTTTTTACACTTTAGAAGATGTATGCTAGGTACATGTGACCAATATAAAAAAAAAAAAAAAAAAATCTTGAGAAGCGTGATCGAAGCTTCTGATGGGATCTGATCTGTAACTGTTAAACAAGATGCTTGACTAGAGAGTCCTGGGAAATTTCCCTCTCGTTGATTCACTTTGAAGTTGTTTCTTAAACATGTATTTTTACAGCAATGTTACTAAATAACCAGGTATTCACCTTTAATTTGTCAAACCTCACGTATCATTTCAGAAAACAATTTAAATTATTTTTGATGGATTTCAAAGTCTTGACGTGTAATGCTTTTTATTTGCAACTGTGAGAAAAGATAGTTGTTTGTCTAAAGCTGTAAAGAGACACTGTTGTGAAGGACAGCATATTTCAAACATGCTTTGAAGTGAGTTTCTACCTCTATGAGGAAAATATCCTTTTTAGCTTTTTTCCATTATTTGCAATTTACATTGATGTAATGTGGAATATTTTATGTAGGTGGTTTTTATGATATTAAATATAGAAGCACATTTAAATCCTATCAGATGTTTTACTCAGTCTTTGCTAATGATACAACTCAATATTAGTAACTAAAAATTTTCATGTCATTTACCATCTTAATTTTGCAAAGTGCAATTCTGTGTTATAAAATCTAATCTTAAAATCTTTCAGATCTGAATCATCAGTAATAACATGAGTGCTGTGATCTTGCTAGAAAAAAATTTCCCCTTGCTGCACATTGTAATCTTACTAAACATGCGTTCCATAACATTCAGCACATGTTGCTCACCAGGAGCTTGTAGATCTGTCTTACAAATGCTGCTGGAACTCCAAACGTTATAAATGCTGTGTTCTTGATTCTCATTATCTAAGTTCTGTGTTGAATCTGTCGCAGGTGAATATTTGCCTCATTTTTTTGTGGTAGGACCATTTATTTTTTTTTTCCTTTCCTGTCATTTATATATTGTGCTCACTACAATATATACAAAAGTAAAGCATAATGCACTATTCCCTGTGGTATTTGGAAGCTTTTAAATGATTTATATCTCCTTTATATACCTGGCTTTGCTGCATATTTTAGGCAGCACATAGATTTTATAGACCAGAATCCTTTTTGAAGATTGCAGTGTCCTTCAAGGTGAAAACAGCTGTAGAATTTGAAGTATCCCAACAGTGGCTTTACGGTAGAAGGTTTGGTTTTTCTTATGTTGCCTTTTTTATGGTTATCCTTTTTTTTTTTTTTTTTTTTCCTTTGTCTGGAGAGCATACTGTGAAGTTTGTCCTTGGAAAGACTGCACAAAAGACAAGAGATGCCTTCTTGAAAAGTGCACTATGAAATAAATTAGGCCTCTCAAGTGCGTAAGCTGTGTGTGGGAGGAAGGAGGGAACTTTCAGTAAAATCAAGTGCTCTCTTCAAATTCTATAAACCTTACTTATGAGGGGGATGTTACTGCTGACATAAAATTGGGATCAAAACCAATGGAATTTGGAATCTTCAAAGTCAGTGAGGTTCAATGATGGTGGTTTTAGTAATGTCTGTTTTAACTCTTACCTCACTTGAATGTTTGAGCCCATGTTGCTTATGCTGAGTCTTTCTCTTCAACATTTGAAAGTGACTTTCTTAATTTATGTAGTTTTGTTTCCCACTCCTTGCTCATGGTTATGTCACAGTTCCAATTTTTGTCTTTGCGCATATTGCGAAGGAGCACAGCGTAGTGACTTACCAGAAGCCTTGTCTATAGCTGTGCTGATAACCCGGATTCTTTTGAGCATACAATTTTTTTTCCTTGGTAGGGTGAATATAGCTTTTCACTGCATAGTTAAACAACTGATAATGTATAGTAATGAAAATCCTATTCCTGTGATCAGTTTCAATGTTAATTTTGGTACTTATGAAATAGTAATAAGAAACAGTGATGGCACTCAGGTGGTTCAAGAAATACCAATTGCTTTGGGAAAGTAACATGATGGTATTTATGTCCTTTAGGTGGCGGCGTATAACTTCATTCTTCCAGTTAACACTCGTTGGTATGACCTTCCATTGCAACAGCAACGCTCTGCATCTGCAACTTCTGTTGGATTTGTAAAGCATGTCTTTTCTCCACAGCCACAGAGAGTCACTGTGGCTATTCCAATCTGTAGAGTTAAAGCAGTTGGTAGGTAAACCTACCTAGGAACTTAAAGAAAGTGATGGATGCTTACATTTGTGGTGATACTTTTGCTTGTGTTCTAATTACACAGAATTATCATTTAACTGCCCCCTCCTTCTTCTTAAAACAAACAAACAAAAAAAAACCCCACAAAAACAACAAAACAAACAAAAAATGATAATGGAAGGCTGAAAATTAAATTACTGTATAGTTTGTAAGTTTCTTGGAAATGTGAAAATTTTTAAAAGGTGAATTTGTGTTTTTAATTATATATAAATTGTGCTTTCTGTAAATCCTATCACATATGCTAGTAAATATCTTTTTTTTATATCTGTTTTCCTATATCAGTTTTCCAGTTCTTTTATTTAAATAAAAACAAAAAACTAAAAACCATCAAAATTCAGTTTTGTTCTTACTCCAATTAGTATTTCTTCTCCTTAACGTACAAATTTCAGCACTGACAGCAGTTCATTTGTGTAGAGAACTGGTATATCATTCAAGATCTTTTTCCAGTCTCAGCCTGTGAAAACCATGAGCTCTAGCTATATTTAAAATCTTTTTAAAATGCCTCTCTATGGCTCTGATCCCATCTGAGATAACAATTTAGTCTTTCTGCTTCTGTTTGCTTTTACATGCAGAACTGCACTCTTCTGGCTTTTCAGAATTTGTTAATAGCCAAATTTACAGGCACTTTGTCTGCAATAAGATATAAATATCTTAAACAATTCTTCTCTGCTTTTGTTAAAAAGTTTCTGTTTTTTGTTACTGTCCTGTCTGATTCAATCAAATATATAAACCTCCATATGGTGGTTATTTGAATTCACCAGCTTTTCTCAACTCAATTTTTAATATGTATTTGCTCTCTATTTGAGAATGAGACTTGAGTGTTGAGTATCTTACTGAAATGTTGTTCATATGATGTTTACAAAATCTCAGGAGCACTGAAGGGTACCTGGCTGCAAAAAATGTATAATACAGGCTACAAGCACTCCTTTTTGTTTTTGTCTTTAATTGAAGATTTCAGATGAAGTCTTCCTTATGCAAAAGTTAAGTCTTAACGTGATCTCAAGAAGGTCTCTCACATTTCTTTGGAATCATTTAAGATGTGAGGGAGGTAAATTCATATTAAATGTTTCCACGTATATTTAGTTTAAGAACAAACAGAATAAATATGCATATTAGTATGAGGTTAGTACAGATTGTTCCTCTAACCAATTATTATAATCTAAGTAACTGCTACTGCAGAAGTGATTTATGAATTCAGAAGAAAAAAACCTTCAATTTTCCATTTTTACAGAATTTATGAATCTTATAATAAATGTAATATTCTGCCAAATAGAACAGGTGTAGAATTGAATAAAAGGTTTTTCTTCAAACTAGCTATATTGGTAGCTAACAAGAAGCAATCATATTAAAACGAATCTATGATACTTTCAGTACTTTATAATTGGCTATAGTTTCTGTTTAAATTTGAGTACTGGAATTACATTCTTATGGGATGTTATGGGGAACTGTGAGGAGATAGTCTAGATAAATGTGTTGTTTACTCATTATTTCATATAATTATACAGATGTAGGCAACTAGTCAGATTATTTGTACCAATGAAAGCAAATTGATAATTACTACATTCTGAACATTCAAAATTTGTCAGTTCTTGATTCATCATTTCAGATCATCACTTCACAAATTACACATGGATAAGAAGATGTTGCAAGTTCAAACATGTCATTTGGCAATATACTTAATTCTTTCTACTTTGTGTTATGGGACATTTATTTTTCTTTCCTAAAATTTTTTTTTCCTCTGACAGATTTTCTGATTGCTTACGATTCAGATTGCCCACAACTGTGTAACTGGCACTTCAATCTGTACCTTATATCCAATGTTTGTACTCAGAATTGTTCACCCAGAGAGAAGAATCACTATGATCTCATAGAATTCAACTCAGTCCTTTAATTTGAGTGTAATAAATATGTTTTCAATCAATCATAAATCTTCTACACTCCCCCTTTTTAAAAAAGCAAAAAATAAAAATGTAAAAGCAAGGTTTTTAGAATGTTCCATTATCTGGGATGTTGCTAATCTCTTAAGGACTTTCCTTAGAGATTGTTTATTGACATCTAAGAAAACAGTGAATAAGCAAAAAAGCAAAATGGGGAACTCAGCATCTGAGTAGATAAATACAATTCTTACCTCATTCAGACAAAAAGGAAGAGTGTGTAGTATCCATGTGAAGATACTATGTGTGCTGTCTTTAAAATTGATCAGACTTGCAGTTTCTTAATGGAGTTTCTCATATCTCCCCTTCTGGCCCTGGCTAGCCCTTCATTCTTTCTGTGTTTTCCTTGCACAGACGATGTCTACAAAGAGTGGGGACTCCATGATTGACACAGTTGCACATTATGTGGTGAAAGCATTATTCAAACAATGACGTTGCTACTCTAAAAGAATATTAATTTGCAGAGGTTCCCATCTTACTAACCAAAAAAGGCAGCAAACTGAATACTCCTATGAGAACACCCACCTTAGTTTTTTTTTTTTCCTAAATCTTCACTCTGGACTTCATACTGTGCCATGTTTTCTTTATTTTGGCTATATGACATTAAGAGGAATGCTGTTGTCCTTAAAGTCTTTTCTAATGAATACTGTCACAACTACATTTTAGAACTACTAAAAATAGTCTGGAAGTAAAACTAGTGGATTTGGATGTGAATATAGAATTATATGAAAGTAATGTTCTGCAATTTTTATTAAGAAAATGAATGAATGAATGAATATAACTAAAGTAAATGCCAGAAGATATGCTAAGGTCTCCTTTTAATGAGCATTGCTTTTGATCTCTCAAGTATGCTTGTGAATATAATCTGAATTCCTTGAATTCATCTGCAACAGGAAGATCACATGATACTGTGTATAGCATCCTTACACAAAGGAGAGATGCTATACATGTGGTAGGTGTAAAATTATAATTATTTGAATGTGACTGAAGGGTCATATTAAGTCAAACTTACCTTAATGATTTTTATAATATGGGAACAATAAAATAAACCATAGCTTTACAAAAGGGGGAGAAACAATTCTATTAAATATGTTCAGAAAGAGTTATTTTATGAAGGCATTTTGGGGATCTATTTGTCAAAACAAATGTGTAACATCTTTAATTTTTTCAACAGTACTTAAGTCACCACTGGAGTTCTCCTCAATGGAACTTATATTTACACGGCATTCAAGTGGTAGACGTTCGAATATTCTTGATGAAAGTCTGGATTCTCAGGTATGTAAACAGAAGTGTTACTGCCTGTGTCTTTTAATTACTTTAAAAATGAATTGGAACTTGTATTTTGGATCTTAAAATTTACTCATGGTCTAAACATAATCATTTATGTATTTTAAATATTTTCTAGTTGTTGTGTTCAGGTTTTTGAATTCATGTTTTTCTTTGCTACAAAATTTCTAGAACTCAGAGTTGGGCTTCTCCTGGCTTTCTGATGTATGAGAAAGCATAGGCACTGCGAGAGAGAGAGAGAGCAGTTCTGTGATAAAGGAACGGATTATTTTATTGTTGTTCACACTGTTTATTTACTGGGTTGGAAAAAAATTGTTTTTGGAAGCCTATTTTGAACTTTTTGTAATTTAAATATTTGAAGACCTGGAAGTCTTTATGTCATGAATCATGTGTTCTTGCTGTTCTTCATTTGTATCATCAAAAATTCATTTATATTTGGCTAAGCACCCCATGATGTTTTGATCTTTTTATCTCACATGATTTTTTTTTGTTTTCCTAACTATGGAAGGCAGTGGCAAACAACTGGAAATCTTTTAATCTTTACTGATAGGCATACTCATTTCCTCACCTTACAGTAAACTGGGTTCTTAATTTCTTTCTAGTGCTTTCTTGCTTTCTATGTGATCTGATTGCAAAAGAATGCGAGAAGTATTGTGGTGCTTGCTGCTTTTCCATATTTCATCATGCTTTTCTTTCTCTGTAAATGTTTACAGAAACTTGATTTGAAGAATATCTCAAGGCAACAATTGACATGGAAGTTGAATTGTGATGATGCAGGCAAAAATGTTGAAGACAGTGTTTTTAAATTTAGTCAGCAGACGGGATTTCTTGATCCGGGACAAAAAATCAGTATTACTGTGTTCTTCTGCTCTTGTAAGTAATCTTGTTAGTTCTTCACTTTTTATGGTGAATGTTGACTAGCACTTCTTTTGATGATCTTTGAATTAATGTGAATAAAGGGCTCGTTGAAGGTCTGAGAAAATAACCTAATACAAAGCATTGAGTCTACTTTGCAAGTAGAACACATCAAAGGCTGGGATACCTGACTTGTTTTCAGTACACTTGTTACACTGCTAACGTACACTTGGGTAAACTTTAAATGCTTAAGCTTTCCAAGAATACTTAGAGCGTATGTAATTCCTTGATTATTATTTTTTCTTTTTACATTGGCAGAATTTAAATAAAATTAGAAATTTCCTTCCTCAAAAAGATATAAAATCAGTTAGGTATATTATTTTCCAAGTCGGTTGCTCAGGCAAGCAGACACCAAGTTAAAAGCATGAGATACATTTCTAACAAAGCTTTGGGAGTGTGTAGGAAGATGACAATCAACAACATACACCAAAAGAGAAATTGCAGAACGTGAATATTAGAATTCAGCATTATACCCAGTCAAGTGTTTTGCATAGAGAGTAATGTAACACTGTACTGGAATTGCTGAAGCCTCTCACAGAACTGAGTGGTATTAACAATTTTAAGTGCCTACTGGTGGCCCCAGCATTGTTGAAAAGAGGGAAGGTTTTCTTGTTGGCAGGGTATGATACATTTAATGTTGCTCTGCATGCATATTGTGAGTACGTAAGAGCAGTACTTATTACATAAGTTGTTTGGAGTTGTTTGCTGCACTTCAGAAAGTTTTTCCATTATATTTTATCTTCTTGATAGCCTTTGTTTACAGTTTATGGTTGAGCTGTTATTTTTGCCTCCTGAAATAGAGAAGTATATATATTATATATAATGATCTTTGCAGAACTAATTAAAAGATGGTGTACTTTAAAGGAGGAAATAATCATTCATATAATGGTTGTGCAAGTTACATGTTTATACTGTGAGAATGTATTAAGACTGAAGCAAAGAAGCATGCGAATAAAATACAATATTTTAAATTACTGAATCAAGTGTATGTAAATGCAGACAAATATATACAGAATGAACACTAGTAAATATCATTTGAAGTCATTTGTGTTTTCACTGTTTTCCTCATTCTTTTATTTACAGAAAATCATAAATAGTTGTAAAAGTCAATTGCTCTTAATTTGATGTTCAAAATGTTCTCCAATGATCTGTAGCCCTCTTGTTATATATCTTCATTGAAATTAATTACTCTTCTAGTAGAAAACTAGGTAGAACAAAACCCATACTATAGGAACAATTAATGAAGAGCTTGTACTAATCAACTTCATAGGTATGCAGTGTAAAGTTTTACTATATGGGGAAGAACAAGCCTTAAAAAGAACCTTGATTATGGCTTGAAGCAATTCTTCAAAAGTTCCACAATATTTAGAATAATAATTCATAATTATTAAATGAACATGATTCACTGCCTCTGGAAGATTATGTAACAGGCATAGTGAACATTACAACCACCATCTTCTAGAGTTTTTCCTACCGAAGTAAGAGGTTATATGACTGACTTTTAACAGTTCCTGCACTTTTTTTTTTCCAGGGCTTGTCTTTAGATTTAACTACCTCTAACTTCTTTGTTTTCAAGTCTGTATAGCAATGTACACAAATTCTTCTCTGGCATCCATTTAGTTTGAAGGTGTATATATGTAATATGCTGGATTTTTGGATAATTCATGCCATAACTTTTTGGGTTGTCTTAGAAAATGTCGTATGGATTTGTTTCTAAACAGAAGAAGTCTTCATTAGTTGGTGAAAATAGTTTTCTCTTCTTTTGCTAATTTTTCAGCAGATGGGAATAACTGAAAATTTGGAAAATGGCAAGGAAACAGAAAAATTTTAATGGTGAATAATTAAGAATTTCAAGAATTTGTGATAAATTCTTGGATTTTTGGTTTTCTACAAGCAGTTTTTCTAAACTTTCTTAACAAATAAATCTTCTGATATAACACTTGCTGTATGTTAAACTACATTTCAATTAAGAAATAGAATGGTGACTGTTTTTTGAAGTTCTTACTGTAACTCTCATAATTGTTGAATTTATAGTAAAAAATATATTTTTAAAAAACTTTTTAACAGCTTGTCCTGGGACTTATACATCAGAAATGTCAGTGTGTGTAAATGATTATCCGTCACATTACAAAGTAACATTGTCTGGTACTGTCAAGTCACCAAAATTACATTTTGATCCTCCCTTCCTAATGCTGATGCCAGTTCCTCTGGATGTGAAAACTGAAACGGCCATCAAAATTATTCCGCAAGATTATTTAAGGTAAAAATATCAAAATAAGTTTATTACAAAATTCGAGTCATTCTTGTTTTCTATTCTCTCCTGAAGTAGTGAATTCATTTTTCTTTGTGAAGTAAAATGAAGTTACTCAGTGATTGCATCTGAAAGAATTCCATATATCTGTATATATCTTGACAAATTTCCACTTTATACTGCTTTGTAAAAAAAAAACCAAAAACTTGCATGAATATGAATGTGATAATGTAATCTAATATATAAGAATGAAAGGTTTAGTTTTAGGAAACCTCTGAGAAAACATCAATAAGGAAGTAACATTTAAATATTTTAGCACAGTGAGTAGAAATTCATTTTGATGTTGAGCTATTGTGGTTAATCCTAAAATGCTGAGATATATTTGCGCAAAACAAATCTAAGAGAAGTTAGTTTCACTTGATGTGTATGTCCAAACTGAAGTTATTCTTTATTTAATTGTAAAAAGCAACTTCATAGATGTATGAATCTGTGAATCAAATTCATTACTCTCATCCTTTGTACACAATTGCCATTGCTATTTATTTTAACACAGGAAATCAAGAATTCAGGTTGAACTTCCAGAGCTTGAACTTGAAGACAGTGACAGGATTTCCCCTTTTTCTGTACAGTTCCCAGAGGGACAAGATATTGTTCTTTCATCAGATGGCAGAAATATGGAACTAATTTGTCATATCAGCTTCAAATCATCAACTCCAGTGTCATTTTCAGGGAATATATTTTTCATTGATAAAGATGAAAACAGGTAATATGTGCAATTCAATTTCACTTGGGGGTATCATCCAAAGTGTCAGAAGAGGATATAAAGCAGGAATTATAATACAAATTGGTTGGCTAAAGGCATGCAAGAATAATTCTGGAAAAATAAGGAAAAAAAAGGAAACTTAAAAATGGATTTTATTTTTTTTCAATTGGTTTAAAGTTCCTAAACACAAATTCAACTTTTGTCCCTCAGGTAAGATTTATCTAAGTTGCCAAGTTAAGGTCTTGTTTTATTTATACCTTTGCTGCTAATTCTTCTGTTTTCTAAGATTTCTTTGGAGGCACATGCTCTTGATTCAACAGATCCTCATGATTTCTATTTCAAAGTATTCTACTTCTTTTAAAATGCCTTAAAATTTTGCAGGCCATTCTATGCTGGATTTCAGAGTGGTATATGATTTTGGTCTGAGTCAAACTCCAATGTCTGAAAATTATTATTATTATATTAAGCAATGAAATGTTTATGGCAGTGTAGAGTCTCTTTTCTGGTTTTATCCTAGTGGTATCAGGAAAAGATGTTGATGTTTATCATGTATTTGCAAATGTTTACATATTAGAAGAATCACTCAAATTTCAGCCCTATCAAAAGCTTCAGACGTTCCCATTGTACCTAAGAATTCAAGAAGAGTCAGGTCTGAATAACTTAGCAGGCCTGTAAGTGATTTTAGTTATTTTAAAGGCTAGTAAAGTAGAATTGTTTAGAGGTACTCACCGAGTAAAGATGGGGAGACAAGGGCAACTGCATTACAGATCAGAATTAAATTTTGCTAGAAAGTAGCAAATGAGCTGTAATTTGTTATCCTTCCACCTCTGTCCTTCCTTGATCTTCCGCTCTCCACGTTGTCTTCCTTTTTTCATTTTTTCCTCTTTCTTTATACTCTGAGCTGAATTGTTTTCTAATCACTAGTTCTGCCTGACAAAATGTGGGAAACCGTTGATGTCCTCCCTCAGTGCTAGATAAATCAGTCTTCTGTACTTGTTTAGAGTAGGCACTTTCAAAGCAAAGGGCAAGTGACACGTGCTTTATTTATTTATTTATTTATTTATTTTAAAGTTATCCAGAGTTCTGGAATTATGTGGGAATATAAGTCCCATATTTAAAAAATACTTAAGAATTTATGTGGTCTGATTCTTATTAAAACACTTGGGGTTCTAACGCAGGTGAATATATGGAATTCTTCATTTTTACTTTAGTTCTGTTAACAACAACTGTATTTTTCCACAGTTGGAAGCTATTTAGTGATGAGGACAGATACGGGCATGAAATTCATACATATTAGATTGCTTTTAAAAGTAGCGGTCTGTTTTTTAGGCAACTCTAATTGTGAAAAACTATCCAGAAGGTCTCCTCTTCCTCTGGTAAATGGAGATCAAATACAGTATTGTGTGTTCAGTATCTGTCTATTTAGTTCATCTCTTTCCTTTGTGGGATGAATAAGTGTATGCATATGGAGAAGAGTGTGACATCATTGTGATGAAAAAGCTGCTCCTGCAGTTTCTAATTTCAATAAAGGGTGAAATATCTCATACTACAGTATAGAACGTGCTTTTTAAAAGCATAATAATAAATTTTATTCTGTTTTGAAGCAAGGGCTGTGTACACTTCAGTTGTAGCTGATCATATTGGAATAGTTCTTCAGATTTCTGTGTGCAGATACCCTTATTCATTTTATTTAGCTGTAAGATTTAATCACTGTGTAGGATGTGATTCATAAATGTGTGCTAAAGCTTGGAGTAATTATGAGAAAAGTATAATCTGGGCATATGATGAGATCTGAAATATAGCTGCTGAGGAGACAACATTTAATTAAAATAACTTCCTATAAGAAGTTATTTTATATAAGAACTTCCTAGCAGCTTCTTAAATCTTATTATAGACAAATAATCCTTTCTGCTCTGTGTAATAAGATCTTTTCCATATTTGTCATTAAAATGAAATAAAGAAGACCATCCTCAATTTAAATGCAAACCTAATGAGTTTTTCAAAAAGAGATGCAAAACAAAAGTCGTCATACTAACATTAAAAGGAATCTATGTCTTTTAGCATTAAGATAAAAAAAAAAAATTACATTCAGGAATGGCAAATTATCTTAAGAACGCGGTATGCTTTTAAAATGTGTGATTTTTTTGTTTTGTTTTGTTTTTTTAAGACAGTACTAACAGTGTTGGTTTGCTGACACACATTTGATTTCCTATCAGTGAGCCTGAATGTTGGTATGGGCTTTAGGATCAGCTGATATGAACAGAAATGAATGAAATAACAAACTATCTAAAACAATGTGTGCTGTTAGTGTGGTAATATTATTCCTGTTGGCTTTTGGAAGTAATTATTTTTATCTCAACCAGAAAGAATTCTTAACTTCAATTGGAAAAGTCTAAGTAGGCACCTGATTCTCTAACCTGGAACATACACTTCTGTTTCTTTAAAACTGTTAATATGTTCTGTGCATTGAAATTCCGCTCTAAAGTAATTTGCAGTTGCAATTTGTTTTTTTTACCTTCACATTTACACTCATTTTTCTCCCTCCTTGCTGCTCATGAGAGATGTATGGAATGTGTCTGAAATTGTGTAATTTCACACAAAAAAATGTGTTGGAAATAGTACTTCTCTGGGGGAGTGGTCAGGCACTGGAATGGGCTGCCCAGGGAGGTGGTGGAGTCACCGACCCTAGAGGTGTTCAAGGAATGTTTGGATGTTGTGTTGAGGGACGTGGTTTAGTGAGAACTATTGGTGATAGGTGGAACGTTGGACTGCATGATCTTGGAGGTTTTTTCCAACCTTGGTGATCATGTGATTCTGTGAACCTCAAACCTGACTCAGCTAACTGTCTAGGCCTTTGAGTGGTTAGTTTCAAACTCTGTGACTAATGAGTTTGAACTACTCTGTTAACTGAAGTCTTTTAAGAAGATATGATTTTGAGGCTTTCTCAACATTTAAAAAATGAAACAATGGAAGTAAGACATAACCCATATAAGATAAAACTGGTCTTGATTAGGTTCCTGGGTTCTTTGATAGGCCATGATATTTTACAGCATCAGTTGCTGAAGGCATTAATTTTTCAGATATTCTCCCTTTATATTTCCATTTTCAAAACAATAAAATTATATTTTTAATTATTTGAAGAAATGTTAAACTACACCATTTTATGTTCTTTGTTACAGTTTGGAATTAAAATGTTTGCCTATTTTGGAAAAATATATGCTGTCTTTAACTACATGGATAAGGATGCTACTTATGTTTTACACTGTTTTGCTTTTCTAAATCCAGGCTTAAAATTTCAGATGATTTGCATAGTTCATATCAAGTCCATGTAAATAATAGCAATTTTTCCTGTAAATGAGAGTGAGCACTGGCTTAAGGGATAGATACTGTTGAATTTGGCAGCACATTGACATTGTCTTTGCCTTTGACACAGCAATTGTGTTTTACAGGAAAAATAACTTTCTCTATAGCTGTAAAAGGAAACACATAAAAAATATATTTGTCCTGTAGGCAAGTAATTTACTGTGTGCATAGATTACATTAAATGGATCATAAGAAAATGTATTAATGTTTATTTAATGACTGTCTTACATGAGAATTTGCAGTTAATTTCAATTACTGCTTTTAATCTCTCTATTCTATTCTTTTTTTTTTTTTTTTTTTTTTTTTTGCCTCCAAAGCAGAGTAAATGACATTTCATTTCACAGGGCTGATATAAAAAACATAACAAAATTCAGGAATGTCTTCACCAAGCATGAAGGAAATGGAAGAAATATTTAGCTATGACTATTATTTCCTTCAACTTGAAAAATCTAAATTAAAAAAAGCCTTTGAATGTGATTTAACACCAACACACAACTAAATACCATCATGCCCTACTCTCATTCCCTCAAAAGAACAGAGGGAGAAAATATCATGGGGGAGGAAAAGGAGGGAAAAGAGCAGTAATAGATAAAAGCAAACTAAAAGTACCTTCCATTCATGTTCTGCCTCATCCATCTTGAGAGGCACAGAGAATGGAGATGGATGGGTGGGATGGAGAATGGGGGCTGTGGTCAGTCCATAATGCTTTGTCTGTTCTGCTCCTCCCTGGTCACTCTTTGCCTCTGCCCCACGTGGGTCCTTGCCACATTGCAACCCTTCCTGAGCCATTCCCACATGGGCTTCCCAGAGCCTGCAGCTCGCCCATCACTTCTGCAGGGAGACAGCCTGCTCCTTCATGGGCCTCTCCTGGGCCCATAGGTCACCCACCTTTCATGTGGTGTGTAGATGCATTGATGTGATCATTGTTGACACAATGGGCAGCTGGGGAATCTCATGCTATTTCTGATTTTGTTCACAGTTGGAAGTTCAGGAAGACATAATGTGATTAACCTTAGCCTCTAATAAAAATGTAATGAAATTGAGAGATGATCATTAAAAGGTAGCCAGTTACTAATTCCTTCCAGTTCTTTTCTTGTCCCATGTCTCAGTGTTTCATGAAAGGAAACATTGTCATCTTCTTTGGGAAATGTGCTTAAATTTTAGCTTAGCATTCTCTTCTTACAGCTATTGGCTGTATTTAACTGCTTTTCAGAGACAGAGTTAATTTATTTCATAAATTCTTTTTTAACTCTTGGAGGTTTGGATTAGTGATATACTCGTGTTCCATAGTAAATAAAATCTGATGTGGAGATATGCTACCCTTCCTGTTTCAGCTTGTGCAACCTCATCCATGTACTTAGTTATTAAACCAAGATAGAGAAGAAAAGAAGTGGGTCTGAACATTTCCTGTCTTCTTATGTTGAATTTTGATTGGCATGGCTAAATAGAAAACTGTTACTTTGTGTTTTGTTTCGAACAGGTTTTCACTTCAGGTTGCTGCAACAGCAGAGAATTGTCTTCTTACTATACACTCATATTTGGCTTCGCATTGCTCTGAACAACAAATTTCTTTGATAAGCAGTAAGTAGTCAGCACTCTGCCTCTTCATATTATATTATGTCAGGAGCATCTCCATTATTGTTATCAGTGCTTTCAGTATGATAACAGGCATGCTATCCTTAGGATAGTTTTTTGCCTCATTAATTACATAACGATGCTGCAATTATGTATTTAGAACAGATTAATAGCTTCTATTTTTTTGTTGAAATGAGATAAACCCATATAGATGATTAGATAATGTTTATTGAAAAATATTAGACAACACAATCTTAGATTATTGTGAAGTTTTTAAAATAAAAGAGCCCAAAGAATAGACACCAAATTAGCATAATTTATATTGATAGAATGTGGTTATTTCTAGGTCAACAGCTAGATATTTTTTGAAGAAAGCAAAGGAGAAGAAAGCTACATGATATGGCTAAATGCAGTCATTAATTGACTTTTGGGAATGGTTTTCAGTATTTTTAATTACTATCCTAGAAGACTGGAGAGCATAGCAGTATTTTAAGACCTATTAAAATCCATCATCGCAGACTAGAAATCTGTAATGTGTCTCTCTGGCTGCCTGTGTCTGTCTCTGCCTGCCCCACCAACTCCCAGTCTCTCTCTTTCCTGTCTCAGTGTTCTGCAGTTTCTTTGTGTGTATCTGTATTTATGGGAAGAGATTAGGAACATAGATCAGGAGGGACCTTTGGCAGTCATCTAGTCCAACCTCCTGCTCAAGAGGGTTTAAATATGGGGTAAAGTATATTTTCTCCAGTTGCTATCTGGTATGTTTTGATGAAATAGACGTGTTTTTTGGGTAAGCAGGTCATTCCTTACAGTAGATTTCACTTTGAAGACTGGTTTCTAAGATTTCTTTGACTTAAAATATGTGTTACTCAGACTACCTAAGAGAAAAGAGTTAGTACTTGTGAAGCTGGAAAAGAGATTAGCAAGGAGATGTAATTATTTTTTCACATACAGATGGTAGTTAATATATCATGTGTGGATCACATTACAAATTAGTGAAGATGAGAAAGTGGAAAAAATATTGTCTATTAAAAATATTTATTTATTTTGTGGCTAATTGATCATTTTTCTAGAGTTGGTTTTTGGAGAAGCTTTGTACCTTTCCTTTGAGGGTTAAGCCAAAGAGTTGAGGCCATTAAAACTGAATATTTCTGTTCTTTATTGATGCCTTATTTGTTTGTTTACAGTGTCATTTTATGGGTTTTGAAAATACTTGTGGTTAAATTCCTTGAGTCTATCTTATGTCTTTGTACAGATTATTTTGGTGTGAAATGCTGTTTAATGTGACTGAACCATATCTATACAGTATAGTGCCTTTGAAACCGATTCAGTAAGCCTTTACTTTCACATATCTAACCACATGCTCTTCTGTTTTTTGCCCCAATACCTGTGAATAACCATGCCAGCAATCAAAAATTTAAAAAATAAAATAAAATAAGCACACAGAGTTTTTCCTTCTCTTTTGGGTGTGTGTATGTCAGTAGAAATCATACTGGGTTATTCTTTTGCTTTGGAGTCTGATATCAGAGGTAGCTAGCAGAAAGCCCTTTGATCCTATGATAGGATGTTAGGTCAGATTGCAGCGTAACCTGCGTAGATCTAGCATTAATATTTGTAAATCCTGGTGAGGTTTATGTATATATATTCAGAGTGGGTGATCCAGTAGACCTCTTCTGCAAAGTGATGAATGCATGAATATAGTAATACAGCGTTAAACCATGAAACATGTGCTGTACCAATAGCCATCTATTACTGCATTTTCTCATTATAAGCCACTCTGCAGTGTAAAATGTTCTGCATTCATCTTTTGGTAGATAAAAATATGCATTAATGCATTTGCTCTAGCTTATATACTGATGGTACGCCCTATCTTGAAACCTAGCTCCTTGTCCTCTTTTATGTCATGTAGTTCTAAGATGTATTTTTTCAAGACTAGGCAAGTGAGGTTTGTTTTTCACTCTGAATATTTCCTGTGCTTCTATTTATAAATCTTTTTACTTTCATGTTTAGTATCTGTTATGTGAAGGAAGAGTTTTATTTATGCATTGGTATTTGGGGAATTTATCTTTCTTTCTTTCTTTCTTTCTTTCTTTCTTTCTTTCTTTCTTTCTTTCTTTCTTTCTTTCTTTCTTTTTTTTTTTTGTGGTGGAAGGATATGGTCTTTTTAAAATAATGTAATTAGAAATGAGAATGCTTAAAAAAATGATAGGGGGTTTTAGCCTTCAAAAGTTGAGAAAAGAAGTAAAAAAAAAAAAAAAAAAAAGATGGGATTAATTTTTGGGAATGAAATTGAGCTGACTTGTGATTTCAGGATAAATTTTTTCATGGATACACGGAAATTATTGATTAAGAAATGTGGTTCCTCATTCCTGTGCTTACACAAAGTTTCCACTGTGAAATTTATTTTCCTTTACATGGTCATTTTTTAAAATGAAAAGTAGAATCAGCAAAATCTTGTCTTACATATGTTCGTATTTATTCTAAAGAGAAAGCCATTTGTTTTGAATGTTTTGATTTTTTTTTTAAATTGGTATTTAAGATGAGAGAACTTGAAAAATCACTCAGGTTCTTGGTGTGTTAAAAAAAATTATATTGTAAAGCATGTCTTATTTGAGGACTGCTTTGAAAGTAATGCCTCCTTTTTTATTATGTTGGCCCATGACATCAGAAGCAGCTGTTGGTGGTATGGCAGTAGGGGTTGAACCTTCATGCCAACTTTCTGTGACACTTTATTGCCATGTGACAGATGGCAGCGGAGGGGCAGTCTGACACAGTGGCATCTGACATAGAAGTGTGTATGAAGCGAAGGTGTGTCATAGAATCTTTCCAAATGGAAAAAATGGCCCCCACTGATATTCATCAACCCTTGCTGAATGCTTAAGGAGACCAAACAGTGAATGTGAGCGCAGTGGGTGGTACATTTCAGCACTGGATGACTACATCTCAGCCGTTCTGGATGACTACGCATTTTTTTTATCAGGGTGGCTTGCAGATTCTTGTTCACCACTGGTGGAAATGAATAGCTAATGGTGGTGACTACTTTGAAAAATAGTTCTTTGCAGCTGTGAGTTTTCTCTATCAATTAATGTTATTGTGCTCTTTGTTTCTGTTGTCGTTTCCATGGAAATAAGTAGGAGGCATTACTGTCGGAGCAACCTACATATAACAGTAAATAGAAGCATTGTTTTTTGGATGTTTAAACTATTAAATTGCTACATTTTATACTTGCTAATAATCCAGTATTTAAATCTTCCTGTACCTTTATGTATCAAAATTAGTATTTATAGAATATCTGTACTAGCTATAGTTGTCAGTTAAAGCTTTCCACTGCCATGTCTCCTCAGCCAGTAGTAGTTACACTAGCATTTCAATTTTATAATCAGTCTAGGTTAGTATGCAAAACAGCACCAATTAAAACTGTCAAAAGATATATTTGTGGGTCAGACTTTAACTGTGCTTATTACATAGTGTAAGACTATAAATGTTTTTGAAATATTGCAGAGTATTAAGGCCAGTTAGTCACCCAGCACATCCTCTTGGAGTTTCATGTCATGATCTTTTTCTTTGAGATTTTCATTAGATCTGCATTACTAGCTAAATTTAAAAGTCAAAGTTTCTGGAAAGTTGCTTGAGTCATGAATAAACTCCTAGGAGACGATGCTCATTACTTAGCTTTTTTTTGTCTGCAGATGTAAATCCCTTAAGAATATTTGGTTCATGATTCAGAATTCTTGAACTAGCATTGATCTGATAGTTGCTTTATAACAAGTATGCAGACCCAGCTTATATATGATACAGTTAATGGAAAAAAATATGCACATAATCTTTTTTGTTCCAAGTCTAATGACCAAAATGAGATTTTCATCATGAGTAAAATGAGAGGTTATTTGGTATAATTAGAGAATAAAATAAGGAAAAGTATAAAAGCAGATATCTATTTATAAACTGTTAAAGTGCTGACAGTAGTGTTATACTCAACTGCTGCTTGTAATCTTGCTTTATAGATAAAGACCGCAGTAGTGGAGAAGTTGTTCTGCATCCATTTTATTCTCCACAATCATCTTCCTGTAGTAGTTCCTCAAGTTCCTTTGGTCCAGCTGCTGAAGCATGTCATTCCTGGTCAGGTAAGGTACAGCTGCACACTTTAAAATCTGACCTCTTAAAACTACTTTTCAGCTTATTATTGTTTACTACTTTAGATAAATACATTTCACATTTGTATCCTATGCTAAAAAATGCTTCTGCATGTTTGATCAGTGAATACTGGAGAGACTTTTCTCTCCTGTGAAACCATGACAAACCTGGCCTAGGTTTTATCAGCAGAAAAGACTCTCCTGACTTTTAAGAGATTCAGTAGAAGGGAATAAATAAAACAAACATTCAAGGAATATAATGGTCTCATTTGTAATTAAATGTCCATGGAGGAGCCAGCAGAAAAGTCACAGAACAGAACTAAGGGATTAGTTGCTAAGGAGGGCACATTTCTATAGTCATGAACTAACTAACCATGGAGAAGTCAGGCTGGACTTCAGCACATCCACTGTATTTATGAGGTACAGTATAAAACCAAACATTATCACTAGGACTTGGTTAAGGTGCTGCTCCATATGAATTAAGATTAACAAGTCTTTTGTAAAGTTTCAAGAGACTAAGGTCTGAGGCTGCTCACATCTCTTTCAGTTGCTAGTTTTCTGGATAGGAAGTTAGAACAGCTGAAGTTACTGCTGCTGTTTCGTTACTGGTAGGATTCCACTACTTTTGCAGATATGCAGATGTTTGTGTGATCACAAATGTGCCTAACCAAGACAAGTTAGTTAAATGTATTAAAAATTAACTCTCTATTAACATGGTTCATTTGTAGTGGAATGATGTAAGATGCGTTCAAAAGAAAACAGTTTCAGATATGAAAAGGCAATAATCTCTGGTAAGGGGTCAGTGACGAGATAAGAGAATAACCTCATCAGATAGCAAAACTGTTCAAACATCTGTCTGCTTGATCATCTTATTAAGGACCTGACTTTCTGCTCTTGCTTGCATTGCATTGTATTGTTTTTTTTTTTTTTTTTCCATAAATGCTAAACAAATATTTATTTAAATGTGCAAGGTATTAACTAGATTACTTTTGCATCATTTAGTGAGACAATAAAACTGCAATGGTAGTGTTGACTTCATCTCTAAAGATGTATTTTATCTGAGCTATTTGTGCTAGATTGTATTGTTACCTTTTATTGTATTATTACCTAATATTTTTGTACCAAAACCTAGTAATAGTACACAGTCTAAGCTTTAACCAGATCAAGATGGAAGAGAGAGAATACCTCGCAAAGGACAAAAGTCTGAAGACTTACTTTACTGGTCAGGGAGTAAGCTTAATTGTACCTACACAATGCCTGATAAACTGTTTGAACACAACTCAGTTCCTGAGCCATGCTCTGTGGTTGGGGTGAAGAACTATCAATGACTAGTTGGTAAAGGTGTAGCTACTGGAACTGCATGTAAGATTTTTATGATTTTTGACTATTGTTTCGAAAGCCCTGTCTGAATTTTTTTTTTTTTTTTCTGATTGGATAATAACTTAAGTGAAATTAGATTGCAAAAACATATTTTTTTCTATACCTAAGACATATACATATCACTTAACGTGGTTTATTCTTGAAATAAATTGATCATAAGTCATAGGTTTTTTTTGTTTTCTAAGAACTTTTGTGTTTTAAAAAAATGCTATTTTTTTATCAGATCAAGATAGGAAAATAAGGAATCTTTTTGTTTATTTTTTTCTTTCTTTTCTTTTTTCCCCCTCTATTATTTGGAGTCAGATATTGCTCCTGAAAGGGATAAAAGTGCTGGGAAGATGAGTGAAGAGAGTGAAGCTGACAGTCAAAGTGATGGGAGAGAAAATGAATCTGAATTATCATTTTTTCCTAATGAGGACAAAGAAGAGTTCATGTTTCGGAAAACTATAGCTGCTGTCCAGAGTTGGTTCACTCTCTTTGGTTGGTCTAAGGGACCAAATCCTGTTTCAATACCGCATTCACTAAGACGGTAATTCATGTCTACATACAGCTAACTTGTGTCTGCCTAATAATATATAAACATACATTGTATATAATCTGAGGAATATAGACACAGTCAAATGCACAGTCCTATATTAAGATTGTAGCATCTGTGCTACATATGTTTATATATATATAAACATGTCATTTAGGTGTTATTTTTCATTTTTGGAAATGTGTTCCTAAGTACATTTCCAAATGTACTTACACTGTTTCTGAGTACAGTGCTCTCATATCACAATGTAGTGTATGCAAAATATGCAGTTAAAACCAGATGTTGCCCTTTTGTCTGAAATTTATTTTCCTTCCAGAAAGAGCACCGTTCTATCAATTGTTTCTACTTTATTGGCATATATAACTTTTCAGCGATGTCTTTTATTTTGTGGTTGGTTTTTTTTTGTTTTTTTTTTCCCCCCCACATAAGAAACAGATGGGGAAGCAAACTTGATAATCAACAGTTTTGCAAATACTCTGGAAATATATTGATCTTAGTGGCATCGCTGAGTTGATTCTGTCTGTTTTCGTACTGAATATCATAGAAACCATTCTCCTGGGACACAATTAGGCATTTATAAACATGTTAGAAATCAGTTATGTTTGGCATAAAGCAGTGATAAACAGTCTTTTATGTGTGAAATATTTCACATAAACTTATTAACTGTTCAATGAATTTCAAAATTCTTACATATTTATAAAAATCCTTGGAAAGGAAAAACTACCATACTTACCAGTCTTCTTGCAGCTGTTTTTTTGATCATGCTTTATTATATTTATCATTGTCAATGATAAAATAATGCTAGATTGTTTTGCTCATTTAAAAAAGTAATATCAGAAACTTTTTCTCTCTTAGTGATGTCTGTAAAGTCGAAATGACTTCTTCCCAAGAAAATTTTTTTAAAGAAAATCTTGACAAAGATACTATTTATGACATGTTGTTCCACCTGAGTGGACAGTTGTTATCAGGCATTACATTGAGAAAATCGTTGCCCGCTGATCCAGTTGAACGAATGATACAGCTCTACTGGCAGCATTCTACATTGCTTACCTTCCTTAAGTAAGTACATGTGTGGTATAATTTCTATCATTTCCTACTTTTATTAGTTTAGCTCAAACATGATTCCAACTAAACTGTAAGTTTAGGAACTCTTTATGCCACGTTTTTTGTGATGTACGACTTTTGCATTATAAATTTTAATTAATTTTTACTAAAGTAACTTCTGCAGTTACCACTAACTGAGATGTTCTTTGGTAGTGTTACATTCACCACAGGGACTTCTGAGGAACTCTGCTCACTGTTATGAATGAAAGATGACTGTTAATGTCATTCCCTAGATTGAGCAGATAGGCCGAATAGATAATCAGATCAGATCAGATTTGTTATGAATCATTTTGTTATTTGACTGGTGCAAATTATCCTGTAATCACTGGCTGTAGCAATACTTTATGTAAATGTTGTAATATATTGTCTTTTGTATTCATAATACCAAGAAATGAGAACACTACTCCTGCTGCTGAACAGACTTAGATTCTATCAACCTTCATTGACAGTCTTGTTTTATCACGTAAAATGGAGCAGCTGTGAAAGATGGTGCAAATAAAAATGGACAAACTCTTCTTTATCTTTCTTGGATAGGTGTGAAATGAAAGATGATTACTTTCAGAGAAAGTCTAATGTCATGAAACCTTAATGAATCATCTGAAGCCCTCAAATCCCGCATTTATGCATCTTTTTAGCACTGTCAGTGGTGTTCAAGGAGTTATCCTGCAATTTATTTACTTATTGTCCTTAACACAAGCTTCCTCATGTAACAGGCAGTGATGTAGTTGCATACGAACTTATTATGAAACCATTGTACGTTGCTTCTCATATAACAGAAGGGTCAGAAGCTGTAGTGATACTTATATTTGATGGTGTATGTTTCTCATGCTTCAGGTCTATAAACAGAATAATAGAGAATGTAGTGCCATCAGCAAGTATTTTTTCCTGGATACCTATCAACAGAACTACTCATAAGAGTGGTAAATTCCAACTTTTAAAAACCTCATTGATATGGGAAACAAATGTTTATCTACCATTATCTCAAACAATTTTTTTCTGTTCTTTATAGAATTGTACTTTCAATAATTCCATCTTCCTGGGGATGCTGAGTCACCTCATTAGATCCCATAAGCTTACTCAGTGCAGTAAATCAAAAAGCCTGATGGAAGCCTGTAAAAAAAAAAAAATAATAAAATGCTGTGCATGGCTTCTTAAATTCAACTATTTTAAAATTAAAAAAAAAAAAAAGAAAAAGAAAAAGCTATCTGAATCTTTACATTGATAGCAGTATTACTGATAACTATTTTAGTAGAGCAACCAAGTCAATAGACGTAGTAAAAAACCTGCCTTTTAGGTTGTTTGTAACAGTAGCGGGGATTTCCTCTGTTGTCCAAATGCATTGGATTCTTATCTGCAACTTTTTAATAAGAGGCAGAATAAAATTCTTCTGTGCATCACTGATAACATAGTGGCAGATGATTCAGAAGAATCATGGCAGCAATGGTATCTTTGACTTTCTTCAGTAATGAGAACAAATGTTTACTTATTCGTGTTGTTTTCGCCACTTCAGTGTACATTCTGATACTAAATAAAAGAATTGATGAATACATCTCAACCTATTTTCCCATTGTATCTCAAACGCTGGAGTCATTAGGCTATTAATGGTCTGCTAAGAACGTTTTACCATTGTATTATTAATGCCACCCTGCTGACTCTTCTTAAGGAGTGTTACATCCTTACAAGTATCAAGGCATTGAGTTTGAGGAAATACAATACCAACAGTTCTCTAAATGAATTTAAGAGATTTTCTTATCTATTTAATTAGTATACTGTTGTTTTACTGAGGACAAAGGGACAAGAAACTTCTTTAATTCTGACCTAAGAAAAGCTTTTTGTTTGCTGCTACTTTAGGTTTGGTGTCAAGTTAGTATTCCTAGGAAAACTGTCAAGAGCAACTTCAAGATGTGCTTCCTCTGCTGAATCCTATTACCCTTTTTAACAGTCCTAAACTTCACTAGACAAATCATCTCATTCTGTTCAGTTCCTGTCAGGAGAGACTATACTAATCTTTGAATTGGCAACTGATGTACCTTTCAGAGTCCATCACTCTTAACTTTGAGATTTTATAGCTCTATCTCAAACTAACTTACTATTTTTTTTCTTGTCTAACTTCTAATGTCATTGTACCTTGGAGAAATAGAAGGATAGAAAGAATATCTCTTTACCTTATTTATTTCAAAAAATTTTAATTGAGAATTGCAAACATTTATTCATAACACTGAGAATGAGCAGTATAAGGGGAAATATTTTTTCCGAGGAGGTCAACCAGAAAAGTTTTCCTAAATACCTTATCTTGTTTATATTATAACAGTTACAAGGAAGCAGTTAGTTGTTTTGCATACCTTATGCGTCATGTTTTCTCTAACAGTTAGTCTGTTCAGGAGTTTTCCTGAGGAATTTTCATGGGATAATTTTGGAGCAATGTTAGATTGGCCTACCATTATCTACTACTGGAGTCTGCTTAGTGTCCAGTGTTCCCAACAAGATTTTCCAGAGAATCCAAGCAGATTTAGTATTGCATCCTGAAACTAATTCTATTCTGTTCTTATGCAGAAGACCTTGTTATGCTTCTTAGTTAAGACAAGGAATTGGGTGTGCAAATAGCTTAGTGAGACTAGTCATCTTGATGTTAGATTATGCTGTTCTTCAACAAAAGCTAGATGTCATCTCATATTTTTGGATGGTTCAACAGCATATTTTGATGTAAAACATTTCTTACAAACCTGATCTATGAATCAAGTAAGATAAAAATAAAGTTTGCTACTCTTGATCTAAAGCATGGCGTTAATTGCTTACTTTAAAGTTACGAATTTTAGGTTTAGTCAGTCCCAATCCCATTTGCTAAGAATAACAGCAAATGTAAAGAAATACTTAATTTGTTTTCAATGCAGTTTATTGGGATTTTCAAAAAAGCCTTCAGTCTTACTGAGTTTTGTTCACTAACTCACATTTTCAATGCAGAGTTCGAACAGTAGCCAGTTGATCAAGGCTATTGTATTTTCTGCTAGTTGATTAAATTGACGCTTTGTATTACTATATCCTATTAGTTTCTGCCTATTCTGACAAATTTCTTCAAAGTTTATGCTTTATGGATATTCTTTTCCTGCCAGTGCATTTAAGCTTTACCTAGGATACTTGCATTTCTTCACAGTTGCTATTTAATAGTGCTTTTAGTCCTGTTCCAAAAATGTCAGATGTTTGTAGTGCTGGTACAGATGTATGTAAAGATGGTAGGACAGCAAGAGTCAGCCTAGAGATGTGCAATTAATCTGTTATCTGCCATCCCTGCCTGTTCATTGTGATTTGTGGGACGTGCAACATTCCATCCTGTGGAAGCCCGGGAGAACACACACAGAACAGAAAAACAGTTTTCAACTTTCTTCCCCCAACTACTATTTTCTGGTCAGCATAGTTCAAATTAAGTGTAATTCATCTTTCAAGTTGGTCAGCTACTGAAGTAGGTGAATGTTTTTCACTGTTTCAAATAACGTTCAAAGAATCAGTTTTATTTTTCTTGATATCAAAAAGCTTATTTGGTAGTTTATTGTGGCAGTTAAGAAAAAAATGGGCATTTTGTGATATAAGTAAAATTAATTTGTAGCCCTCATCTGGACCTGCTCAAATATCTCCACATTTTTCTTGTAGCGGGGGTCCCAGACCTTGATGCAGTATGTCAGATTCATAGGCTTCAAGAGTTCAGAGTAGAGAGGAGCAACCACCTCCCTTGCTCTGCTGGCCATTTCTCTTATGATGCAGCCTAGGATATAGTCGGCTTTCCAGGTTGCAAGCATATGCTGCTGGCTCATGTTGAGCTTTTCCTCCATGAGGACACTCAAGATTTTCTCCACATGGGCTGCTCTCCATGATTTCTCCTAGTCTGTAGTAATGTCTGGCATTTCCCTGACCAGGGTGCAGTATGTTACACTTGGCCTTTTCGAACTTCAGTTGTTTCACATGGGCCCACTTTTCAAGCCTGTCTAGGTCCTTCTGGATGGCATCCCTTCCTTCTGTTGTATCATCTGCACACCCCAGCTTGGTGTCAGCAACAAGCTTGCTGAGAATGCACACAATCCCACTGTGTAGGTAGGTGATAAACACGTTGAAGAGCAACAAACTCAATTCCTTAACTCCTGGCTCCACGCAGGACATCCAAAAATCAAACCCTATTTTGAGAGGGTTATTCAAATGCATCTTGAACTCTGGCAGGCCTAGGGCTGTGACCACTGCCCTGTTGCAGTCCCTGACTACCCTCTCAGTGAGAACCTGTTTCTAACTGCCAACCTGACCCTCCCATGTTGCATCTTCATGCAGTGATATATCAATGTTGCTATGTAAGTAGCTTTTTTGAAGATAAAAATTATAGATTGTACCTATTTCTGTCTATCTACCAATTATAACCTTTGAAAGGAAGATAGAACATCTGAAAAGATGAAAGTTATGTAGCTTCTTCCTTTTAGTGTTTGGAAAGAACAGAAATGTTGAAAAGATTTCAGGGAACAGAGCTTGTGATTTAATTGTAAATGGGAATTTCAGACATTCTGAGTTTTAGAAGCTACTAACTTGATGCTATCTTGGATCCCTGCTTAAATATTTCTATTTTAAAAACATATAAAATATAAAATATCGGTACAAAAACATACTGCCATTATATAATTCAGTGGGATGAGAAATAAGCTCTCATGCTTCTAATTTCAAACTATCTGTACTATATGATTTTAATGTACAAAGGAAATTGATTTTTGATCTGTGTAATCAACAGAAAAGTTGATTACTTCATTTGTGTGTTCATTTGTGTGACTGATCATATAACAAGAAAAGCTCATCCAATTATTTTCACATTAGCTGGTTTGAAAACACAAAGAGCAATGGAAATCTAGATATGCTAGAATAATTTTTCTGACCTGGACATCAGGAAACTTTTGTGCTATTCCTATCCTGAGAAAAAATATTTTTCCCTCTTTCCATTAACATATGAATTTATAAATATTATTTCTTCAACTTATTTTCGTATTTGTGCTACTTATTGCAATTGCATTTTTACTGCACTCGCTTTTTAATTGCATTTATTAGTCACTTGAACAGGTGACAGGTCAGTGTGACAATTGTCTGAGTTTAGAAATACCTGTTTTTTACACATGTAAGACTTCTGATATCAGTTCCGCAGGCAGATCATCAAGTTTTAATTCTACTAATGTTATGTAATAGTGGTCCTTTGGATTTAACATGGAAATGTGTATTATGTTTTGACTCTTCTCACTGTAATTCTTTATGAAGGAGCAACTCTTGTAAGGAATTAAAGAATCATTAAGGTTGGAAAAGATCATTAAGTTCATCTAGTCCAACCCATCACTACCATGCCCACTGAACACTGAAAGCATCTTGCTTTTAGCATCAGGTAGTTGTAGGCATTGGAAATGAGCATAAATGTCACAAATAAGGGCTATTAAGGAATCAACAATACTGGATCATTCATCCCCAGTGTATTCAGATAGAATAGTTATATGTAGATTGGGTAAGTTGAAAACCTTAACTACCCTTAGAAAGTATTATCCTGCCTACCTACTAACTTTTCATTATTTTTTTCTTTTATGATTTTAGAAGTCGAGGAGCAAGTCTTCCCCATGTTATGCCGGAATACCTGTTTGAACCTGATGATTATAAGAAATGGACTAAAATGCAAGCTGTGCTGCAGGTAGGTTTGTATTTTTTATATTTTTTCTTTTTTTAAAAAAAGGCCTCATGCAAGTATTAGTTTTTCAAAACAGAAATTCTATGTGGACCACGAGTAATCCTACTTTAGTGACTATTTTGTATTGCGTAAATCTAAGTGCATGCTTAAGAGTGAACAGAATTTTAAGTTGATTCTGACATTCATGCCCTTCTCCTAGTTTTTTTTTTTTTCCCATTCCTTCTGATACCTGTTACTAGTTTCTAATAGTAATTTTTTTTTTTTCAAAATGGAATTAATTTTACTGCTTTCTACCTATTTTTTCTATTTTATTTAAAATATCCATTGTGTTGATTCTCTGTTCTCATTGCTGCCTTCAACTCCTGTCAGTTCTGCAATTCTGCAATGACCTTCTTGTTCTTGAGATGGTGTTGAACTGGAAATGGTTCTAGTGCTGATCACTACTGCATTATAGCAAGCGTATCACTCATTTATACCATTGATTGATTGTTCTTTTGTGAATTTCCTATCCTCTTGAAATTATTATTGAAAATAATTATTTTTCCTTTATCTGAAGGCTCATGCAGCTAACTTGAAAAAAGGAGATAAGAAAAACTTAGTTATGTTTAGCAACAAACAACTATTAATTCTGGAGGACAGCGTATTTGAGATGATCAGCAAACGAGCTTGGACAGACGTGTTATTGCAGGTGTACAAGGTAAATTGTAGGTACTTTTACAACTTAAATTCTGAAGACCTGATTGCAATAAATAAATAAAAAGCTTTAAAAGAGATCTTCAGGATACTCAAGTTATGTTGCTGGTTTTTTTTCCAAACAAATTTTTAATTACTTCTGAAGTATATTATTTTTCTGCAGAGTCTATCTGAGAGTGTTTTAAATGAGAACACTTTCATTTTCCTGGTCCTGAAATTAGCAGTGTGATAATATGCTTTTATTAGGAAAGACTATATTAGAATACTCTGTATCTTGTAGGATTAAACGTTATATGGATCTTTAATTACAAAATAGAAAACTGTGCCATACTTTTTGGTTAGTTTGTTTAGAAACACTTTCCACTGGAAATACTTTGTTGGCTAGACATATTCACAACCATGATACTTATCACCGTTTAATAGAGTGGAATTTTCAAACAGATAAGCATTTTTGTAATATTTATTCCTGCTACGGAACATGATCAAGATGGACCTCTAAAACTGTATTGAGTTTATTTTGATGATGACAGATAAGTACTTTGGATGTTTGAGTCATGTTTTACAAAGTACTCATAGATGATCAGTAATACTTGCATGTCTGAAAATATTTACTTCTTTTCAAAAGGATGGAAAATAAATTAAAAATATAAATATTACGTGGACTCTCCAGAAAGAACTGAGTGTAATGGAGTGACTCTGGTGAAGTTTTCCAAAGGTGGTTAAGGGAATTTATTCAGCTACTACACAAAGAGAAGTTGACTGAGCTGTGACTGTTCAGACAGGAGAAGTGAAGGTTCCAGGGGGATCTTATCAATGTGTGTAAATAGATAAAGAAAACAGATAAATACTCTCCTTAGTGGTGGACTGTGGCATGGCAAAAGGCAGTGGCACATACTGAAATTCAAGAAATTTCATTTAAACATAATACACTTTTTTTACTTTGATGCTGGTTCCGCACTGAAACAGATTGCCCAGAGGAACTATGGAGTCTCCATCACTGGAGAAATCCTAAACCCAGCTGAACATATTCCTAGCAACTCATGCTAGCTGATTCAGATTTAAGCAAAGAGTTTGGACTAGATCATGGGTGTCCAAACTTTTAGCTTGCCTGGGCTGCTATGAAGAGAAGAGGAATTTCCTTGGGCTACATGGAAAATACAGCATATAGTTAACATATATGTATATAACAAAACCTTTTTTTTTTCTTTTTGTTAAAAAAAATAGGGCAGCAAAAGCATACAACTTATGAGATACTTAAGCTTTTTTTTTTTTTTGGGTGAGTGAAACTAATGCATCAGTTAGTTTAATGGAAGTCTTGTTTAATAGAAAATTTTTATTGAGCTCTCAGTATGCTCATCAGAGATTTTTGATGATATTTTACTCTTCTTATATTTAATCCTTGAAAACAATTGTTCATAAATGTGTACTTACTGCCCAAAAGTGATGACATGAGTAAGGTGTGAGTGTGAAGTGAGGGATATTTTTTCTGGTAACAGATCTAATTAAAGTCTAGTAAAGAGACATGATCAAATATTTGAGTTGAATATCTGATTGCATCTCTAAACATTCCATTTGAACGTTCACAGGTGATGTATTTATGTAGACTGAAAATGGAACTGCAAATATCCTGAAAGATTCTATAAAATATGTTTATATTAAAAGACTGACTAAACTGTACTAAAACCTGTTCTCAAATTCATTTATCAAAATGAAAAGCAAGGCTGCACATTTTTTGCTGTTTGCAAAATTGTGTTTAGCCAGTGTATCAAAATGCATTAAAGCATTTGCCATAACTTTGGTACTGCACTGTGTCCTGGTTTCAGCTGAGACATTGTTAATAGCACCCCTATGTTTGATTGTTGCTGAACAACGGCTGCATTCTAGGGCCAGGCTGGGCTACTCAACAGGGAAGAGCTGCCACCATGATGGCATGGGGCAAGAGGAAGGCTCTGTGTTGGCTATGCCTGGAGTAGACAATCTTTAGAAATGCCTCAACTGTTCTTTCATTATGTGAGAAAAGTAATATTTTTTTCAGTAATACTTACTTAATAAAGACTGGCAAACAATTTATGAAGCAAAAATGTCAAACTGATCTAAAATAAAGCAATGAGAAAAATAGCTGACATAAAAACAGGCAACAAATGTTATATATACATATGAAGACGAATGGTCCTAAGGTCATATGGAAGTCATATGGGAGTCCTACATGTGGAAAAATGCAATCATACAGACCAGAGCAAGTTTGCTATCTTTGGATTTTGCTAATTTATTCATAGCTCTGTGACAGACTCAAAAATATCCCCAAAGTTAATAGTACACAATTATGTTTGCTTTTTTTCTTTCCTGATGAGATTGAACTCTAAAAAATTTGTAATGAGAAATGGTCTAATTCATCTGGGGATACTGCCAAATATACTTTCAACATTTATGCATGTACCATCAAAAAGAGTCAGCTATTCAAGCAGCTCTGTCTTTTGTTTTGGCTGATGCCTAAATAGAAGAGAAGTTACCTTCAATTTTAGTGGAATTATTAACAGTTATAACTTGAAACTTTCTAGTGCTTCTCACAGTAACAATTTTAATTTAATCATTTTTGTATCATATCATTAATTTTGTTTACTTTTTGTGTTCACAGAAATTAGATCCAAAGAAATTTTGTTTAATCTTAATTAATAAAATAGAAAAAGAAAGAATATTTAAATGCCACATTCAAGTAATTTGTGTTTTCTTTAATATCATGAAGTGTTGCTTATTAATTCTAAATAAAATATTTTCTCCTTATATTTTCTCAACATTATCAAAAAGCAGCTAGAAAATTAACAACTGCCCAAATTGTTTATGGTTAATCTACTCCTTCAAATCTAAAATTATAGGATATGAAATCAAGCATTTTATAGTTTGATTCTCCACCTATTCTTTATAAAAGCCAACAGTCAGGCTGCTTTAGACAATACAAATGTCCTTGTAGAGTTTTTGGCTTAGGGGAAAAAGTGGATTTTAGGGTTTTGGTTTCAGTATATGTGGAAGTGCAGTTACTTATGTGGGATAGAATAGTGATTTACCCAAGATATCTGATTAGGAAAAAAATTAAAGAGATAACGACTTTGGAGGAACTTTAGTGCTGAATATGATTTGGGTTTTATTAGTTATGCTCTTTTCATGGAAGTATTTTTGCTTTGGAAGGCTTAAAATGTAAAATGAAATACAAGATAGCATGTAAAAAATGACTTGAAGTTGTGTAGAAGGTGCTTGCTTAAATCTGTGGACTCGTTTAATCTTCTAAACACTTTGGTATAATTAAGTATTGGTATTCTTGTGGCAATAGTTCAGAAGCACAGGCTTCTTTTCTGCTGCTTCAACCTTTCACTACTAATTTTTTAATTAAAAATTTTTTTTTTTTTTTTTTTACTATTTTCTTCCATGTGTGCGTTAGTCAAGTGCAGTCTGTTTTAATAAACTTTCTAGTCTTTTTAATAACTGAAAAGAAATTGTCACCATTGATTTACACTAATATAGCTGTGAGTGACTACTGAAATGTCTCTTTCTTACTCTGATATTTCCCACCACCTGTCCTGGCTGTAGTTTTCTGCCCCTTTCCTTATGCTAGAACTGGTGCACTGTGTGAAGTTGGCTCATGGAGTAGGGGGATTTCAAATAGATCTTTAATCCCTGTGAGCGTTGTTGAAGAAGAAGAATTTCCCAGAAGAATGGGAAAAAGGCCCTGGTTGCTAGGGTTCTGAAAGTGGTTCACATTTGGACGAGCCTTTTAAGCCTTTTGTAAAGATGCGTTTATTGTCATTCTAATTCCCTGTTTCATGAATGAGAAACATGCTTCAGTTTCTCATATTCCTTCATCTTTCTATCATGTAATAGTACATTTTTTACAGCCTTATCACATTTCTCCTCTTTTTGTCTCCCCCTTATGTACAGGGAATTACTCCTATCTGCTTTACTTGATTTGCTTTAGTCTTGTGCAGTTTGGCTAAGGTGGTATTCAATTCAGTGTAATAAAGAATAAACAGAACTCATAATATAACACAGCTTTACACTGGGTCTAGTCACTTGGCATTCAGTGTCCTAATTTCTCTTTCATATCATCTTATTCAATCCCCTTTTGTGACAAGGGTGGCCATGGCTGCTGCCAAACAGGATTTATTTATTTACTTACTTTGGAAATAAAACATCAGAACAGTAAAGAAAAACAGGATATGAACTGTCAAGATAGCAAGATTGTTTTATATAAAAATATTTATTGGACTAGTTTTTAAATGCTCTGAATTTAAGAGAATGTTTCATGTCTTAAAAGGAGTTTCAGTAAAATGAAACTAGAGACAAGCACTTTTGTGATTGCTATCAAGTGAAATAAAATGAAACAGAATCCTCTCCTTCTCAAACAGCATGCTGCAATTTTAAGAAAATGCTGAAATAATTTATCTATTCATGAGAGATGTTGTGTTATCCAATTTGATGTTGGAAATAAGGACAGTATTCCTTATCAACCAGAATGTCATCTCATACTGCTTTCATGTCCATGCCTAATGCACTATGGTCCACTGTCCTATTATGAAATCTATTGCTGCAGAATTTACAGAGGAATCGACATCTACTCGAGCTTGCAGAAATGGAAAATCAAGTTTATTCTGGGGGGCGGGGTGAGAGTATAACCTGTGCAGAACAAAGGGGAACTTCATAAATCATAAAGGTACACTTGTAGCTTTCTTTATGAGCATGGGCTGAGATGCTGCTGGAATTCTAAATGTTTGAAACATAATGGAAAGATAGAGACCAACAATAGAAGCAGTATTTTAACCTTGGGTCAAGTCACTTTTTCAAGAAAGATAATCTGTCTTTAGATTTTTTGAACATGTATTAATTATGATGCTTTTCTTTGTTAAAAGTAGTAACACTTCCTAATCTTATATCTGAAAATTTTTAGATAGTGTACTATATACTAGTGCTTTGGTCCTTCAAGAGTATCTAAAAAGGAATGTGGACATTGGCATCTTGGGTTATGAATGATTTGAACTTTCTTGGTAAAAGACAGTAAAAGAATGTTTTATGGGTAAACAATGTTTTGTATTTTCTCTTAAATGCGGTTGCCATTATTCTTTCCTGTTTTGATCCTTTTGATTGAATGTCAGTTGATACTGATGGAGGAACATTGCAATAAATTAACCTGCAAGGACACTGCAGTTTATGAAAGGCAGAAAACAGTATTTATTTACTTTCTTTTTTGTTGTTGTTCCGATTGTTATCTGAAAGTCATGATGTAAAATTTTGAGATTTCTTTCTCTCTTAAGATAGTCACATTCAACTCATTTAAGTATCATGGAGAGAAATGAGTATTTCTAAACAAGTTAAAAATAAGTTAGTTCAGGTATGTTTGCATGGTACTAGATTATGCTGAACTTAAATGCTTCAAAAGTGACTCAATTTTCGTTTATTGTAATTAAACAATGATGGATGATGTAGTTTGGTGTCATGTATGTTAATAGACAACTGTATTTTATGTATCAGTTCATCACAAAAGGTTTTCTTCACAAAAAGTTGAAAGCAATGATGACAATCTTTCATGTCATCGGGAAAAAAATAAATCCAGGTGTATGTATGGGGACTCCAAAGTTATGTGGCTGTAGCTGTGCTATATTTAATGAGAGTTCCTCTCCATCTGCAGCAAATGGATCCCTTTTCTAATAGCTAGTATGAAGAGAAACAGTTATAGAAAGGGGTGCAAGCTATTTCCATTCTGATTTGGAAACAGGTTTCTCTTTATGGAATTAGTGTAGCTCCCATTTATGGCCATGGTCCTTGATGTTCTTAGTCACTGGGCAGGGTGGTCAGACTTGTTATTTCGATTTGGAAAAAAAAAAAAAATTAGAAGTATGGTATAGAATTTTTGATTTTAACTTGTTTATTTTTCTTGTATACAATATAATACATATAGTATATATTATTTCTTATATTTTTTAATATGGGTTAATGCAAAACATAATCAGTGATCTCTGAGTGTGAAAATTTTACTGCGGATATGACAGATTTTTTCAGTAGAAACTGTCTGTATAATCTGAATTTAAAGGATCATCTATGCCATGAACTGTATCATTTCAAGACTTCTTATAGACTGCATTGGAGATCAGTTTAGCAGTTCAGTAATTAATACTTTTTTTTTCTTAGACTATACACAGTTATTCTTGGAATATGGCATGGCTCACTGACATCAATTGGTTCATCAAAACTTGTAAAAAGTTGGCAACAGAGTATTTGAAAACTTCAATTTGCTTTTTAGTTTAAGGAAGTAAAAGAATTCTATATAACCTAAGCAAATCTGTTCTCTCATACGTGCATGCTCATGTGCTATCTCTAAAATATTTACTGAAATAGAGAACTGTCTGAGTTTGAAATACTACTGTTTAATCATTCGACTTGAAATTGTTCTTTTTACTGTTTGTGTTTAAAATGCTTTTTCTAATTCCAGGTGTTTGTTCTACCACGTGTTTCTTCACGAAATACTGCTGATATGATCAATTTGGAAAACACGCAGAATGTGCCAAGAATAAACTCAGAAATTTTATCCAGTAATATATATTCTCCATATGAACGAATCATCCTCACTTGGTTGAATAAAAATTATGAGAATAATCGAAAAACTGTGTGGAAAGATGCTCAAAAAGGTGATTTTTTTTTTTTTTTTAACCACTATTTTCTCACTTCTCATACTCATTTGTTGACTTTAAAAATAATTATTCATGAAGGTATCATGATAACTTGCCACAGAATTTTTGGGGGGACAAATTACTGCCTATCCAAGTGTTTTTCCATTTCTTGTGCTTCTGTGTTACATGTTCAATGACTATCACTGTTCATGAAATATCTCCTCTTATTCTTGTACGGTTTCCAACTAGGCATTAAGGGTGAAGTGTGGTCAGTCTTCCCAGTTTCTTCTTCCCATTATTGACCAGAAAAAGGAAATGCTAGCAATAATCACTTTCTCTTAGTTTTCCTGACAATGGTCATATTCAGTTGTTTATATCTGTGTTTATAGCAGTGTGTTTGTGCACTAGTTTTGTCAGATTTTTAGAGTAATTTTTGTGTGGACTTAATTCTAATGCCACTTAGAGAGGGATGTGATGGAGACCAGATTTTTTCCTGCTTGTGGGATCAGGTCTGATTCCTCATGATGATTTGAGTAGAGTTAGACAAAATGACCTTTTCAGTTTAAGACTGACTTCAGCAGTTCTAGTATTCAAATTTGGTAAAACAGATATGCTCACTGTTCATCCCGTAGCAATTATTACTTCTATTTCCTGGTAAGACTGCTCTCTTCTGCTTCTTGACCCTAACTTCATGCTGTCTTTCAGCATTAATTTTGAATGGGTAGTTAAAGCTAAGAAGGGGAAGTCTGATTATTACCAGGGAAGAACTCTATAAGAAGGTTTCATAAGCCACGAGAAAAGGTTGTCCAGTGTACTTTTTTCTTGAGTGATTTCTAACCTATATGAATTATGGTTAATCTATTTGCATATCATTTCCCTTAGTCTGATTTGGACGTATTCTCTACCTTAACTATATTTTGAATATTCCATTCTGTTTCTCATTTTATCTGTGTAGAAACAAATTCTCAAATATTCTCAGATGTGTTGAATAATCCTACAGATAAAATGGAAGATCAGTCTAGACTTCATGCATTCAATAGGAACAGATTTCTACCTGTCAACTAGTAGTTTGGGTTGAATTTTATGATTAACTTGGGCAGATTCGCTAGCTAAGTAATATACCCTACAGTAAATATATTTACAATATATTGTGTTTGTGTCTAGTGCCTGTTCTGATGAAGCCATCTTAAAGGGCCAAGTAGTCTGCTCCTTTTACTGCAAGTTGCTGTTGTGTTTTATTCTGTCACATAAAACACATCTATACAGACAACAACTTGCAGAGAGAATGGCTGATGTTATGGTTTGCCATACATGCTGCATGGATATTTTGGAATTATAGTGTATTCCAAGTTGGAAGGCACCTATAAGGATCATTGAGTCCAGCTCCAGGCAGCGCCACCCAAAAATCAGACCATATGACTGAGTTGTCCAGATGCTTCTTCAAACTCAGTTCATGATCACTTCCCTGGGAAGCCTCTTCCACAGTACCTCACCAACTCTTGGTGAAGAGCCTTTTTCTGATACGCAACTTGAACTTCCCCTGTTAGAACTTCATGCCATTCCCTTGAGTTTCATCGTAGAATTACCAAGGTTAGAAAAGACAACCTCCTTTAAGGTGATTGTAGGGAGCAATAAGGTTTCCCCCAAGCCTCTTCTCCAGACTAAGCAATTCCAGCTGCTCCTAGTAAGACCTGTTCTTCAGACCCCTCTTCAGCTCTGCTGCCCTTTTCTGGACATGCTCCAGGATCTCAATGCCTCTCTTGTGGTGAGGGGCCCAAAACTGAACACAGCACTTGAGTTGCAGCCAGTGCTTACCAGTGCTGAGTACAGATGGATGATCACTACCCTTACTCCCACTGTCAATACTATTTCTGATACAAGCCAGGATGCCATTGGCCTTCTAGGCTAGCTGGGCACACTGCTAGCTCATGTTTAGTTGAGTGTTGACCAACATTATCATAAGACCTCCTCAACTCCACTATCCTTTTTTCTTGTAGTCTATAACATTACTTAGATGTGAGGCTTGTTCTTGTCTCTGGGAACTTACTGGGCTGAGTATGAAAATCAAAATGCATCTTATTACATGTCAAACTTTTAATTGAGTTATCTTAAGGTAAGCCTAGAGTGAATATTAACCTTAAAACACAGATCCACTTGATATTACTGGCCTAAAATCCAACATTTCATTCCAATTGTAATATCTACTAATGATGCATCTGAAAGTTAATGGATTGCTCTTTTGGTTGCCTGAGATAGAACAGAATATTAAAATTTGAATATGTATACTTGTTTTTAATGATATCATACATTTGTTAACAATTAGAAAATATTTATTTATTTATTCATTTATTTTACAATTACAAAATTTTTTTACAATTTACAAAAATTAGGACCCTGAAAAAAAAAAAACAGTTTAATTACAGTATTGAGATTCTCAGGAAATTATAGTAACTTCTATTAAATCATGCTAATGGGACAGATAACTCAGTAGGTTAAATGCTTTCATCTGTGCAGATTCGGGTGAAGGTCCAGGGCCTCGGTCATAGGTGAGATGAAATTTGTGGTTATTGCCAGGTGATGTTTATCTGCTTTACAGTTCTCTCTTTCAATTTCACTTAATACTTCTCTGCTTTCAGAGAAGCATAATATTGGAATGTGAAGATATAAATTATATTTGCTTTCTATGTTTGTGAAGTTGCATATTCTGCCTTGCTAGTTCAACATTCTGTTTTATTGTTCGTGAGTTCTATATTCTATTTGCTAGAGGACTCAGAAATATCTTGGTGAATGAACATTTTATTGTGCTTCTAATTCCATCTTTTGCAAAAAATTACAATAATAATGGAGATCATAATCTTAGTCTTATTCCTCTGTATTTTAATAGTGCTTAACTGCATGATCATATACTGTTTTGTTCCACAGATGACCTACTTCAGTATGTCTTTGAATCCTGTGTTTCAGCCTTCACTTTCTTCATACCCTTTCTACTTTTACTGCCTTAGTATGAACTGGTGCCGTCTTCTGTGCTGTTCTTGCAGCTAAATAGAGCAGATCACTTGATGAAAGATGAATACAAAAAAGACCAAGTTACTCAATGTCTCCTTTATCTTGCTCTTTGCTGGTAAGACTTGTATTCAGAAGTCCCAGACCCTTGAGATGAGTGGGAAAGTCTGGAGCTGGAATAATCACTTTTATTGAAAGAGGATCAGATGAGGGAGCACTTAAATTGGACAAATACAAATCCATATGACCTGATGGGATATACCATGAAGTGCTGAGGGATCTGGCTGATGTCAAGATCAAAATAATCTTGGAAAGGTTATGACAGCCAGGGAAGTTTGGCAGAAAAAAAATGTCACTCCTTTCTGCAGGAAGAAATATCTGAGAAGCTACAGGCCAATCAGCCTCTCCTTGATTCTTGGAAAGGTTAGAATATTGGAAACCATTTCCAAACATATGGAGGACAAGAAATTGACTGGGAGTAGTTAACATAGATTTACAAAAGAGAAATCATGCTTGACCAATCTGTTTGCCTTCCACAGTGATTTGGCTAGTTTGGTGAATGACTGGAGAGCAGTAGATGTTTGTCTTAAGTTTGTCAAAGCATTTTGCAGTCAGGAAACTGACATTAGACTTAGTGGGTTATGGTTAGTAGTGCATAGTGTAGCTGGAGGCTGGTCATTAGTTATGTAACCCAGTGGTCAATACTGTGACTAGTACAGTTTATTGTCTTTGTTAATGATTTTGGTGATGGTATGAAAGTGCATCCTTGGCAAATTTCATGCATCAGATAGGTAATGCCATTCAGCTGGACCTTGACAAACTGCAGAAATAGGACAACATGAGCTACATAAGTTGAACAGAAGAGAAATTTCATATCCCTGCATCTGGATAGAAATTAACAGCATAAAAAGGGACCAACTAGCTAAAATACAGGTTTGCAGAGAAAGTTGTGTGTCCTGAAGGGCACTGTTGGTCATGAGCCATCAATAGATTGGCCAATAAAAGAACAAGAGCATCCTGGGCTGCATTATGAAGAGCATCACCAGCTGGTCAAGTGTAGTAGGCGTGGCGAGGAAACGGTATGTGACGGGGTCAGGTTCCCTATGCTCAGGGCTTGCCAGGTGCTGCCCCATAATAGGACAGCGTGTATGCAAGGGGTGTAGACAAAGCGGGACAAGAATATTTAAGTGCCTGCTACATTTTAATAAACGCCATTTTGCTTCACCTATTCCTGGGGTCTGTGTGAGCATTTGGCACCGACCTGGTTAGGGTCGGTTTCGCTGGCTATGCAGCATCTTACGGGGTAGAAAACGAATGATACAGAGAGAGAGACAACAGTCAAGGGAGATAATTCTTCTGTATTCTGCCCTGGAGAGTCATATCTGGAGTGCTGGGTTCAGTCTGGGATCAACTTTACGCGAAACAGAGGATATGCTAGAGTGAGTACAGAGAAGGGCTGAAGAATGAAGTAGGGACTGATGAATCTGACAAATGGAAAGAGACTGAGAGAGCTGAGAGAAGCAGCCTGGAGAAGCGGAGGCTCAGGAGTGATCTTATCACTGAGTAATAAATATCCCATTGGGGGAGTAAAGAACATGGAACCAGATTCTTCTCAGTGATGGGCTGTGAAAACATGAAAAGCAATGGGTACAAATTGGAATAGAGGAAATTCAATTTAGGTACAAGAAAACTTTTTTTAGCAGTGCATCTGCTCTGAAAATCCTGAGGAAGTGATTTTAATGTGAGATGACATTTTAACAGCAAGAGCAGGAAGTAAAGTTCTTTGTTTCTAAACTGATTCTCTGGAGGGCTATTTCCAGTGTAGTAATTAAAACATACACTTCTGTTCCTCCTTGCATTTTATTTTGTTTTGTTTCATGTTATTTTTTCCCCATTTCTCATTTCAGAAGGGGTGATTTTGGAATCCATTAACTTTGAATTTGTTAGGTTTTAGAGACAATTGAGAAACAGGAGGAAAGGTTAGAGAAAAAAATTTTTGGAATTCCAAAAATTGG